CAAACTATTCAACAGGAAGTTTACAATTATACTAGGAAGTGTATGAATATCTCGAGGAACTTGATGAAATGAATTGGTCAGCCCGAGGTAATGTATTGAATCAATATTTGAGCAACACTTCAATTGGAACGACAGTAAGTCATTGAGAACACTAGTAAGTTTTGATTCCTGCATTAATTTTTCATGAAATTTTCTCCAGGGTTGGTTAGAAAAAGAGGAGTACAATAAGAACAAAAGTTTCCTCAAGAAGAGCAAGTATTGGAAAAAATATTTCTGCGTTCTTCGACGATACGAAGGCGATGCTAACGTCTACCTTCAATGGTTCGAAAAGGAAGAGGAATGGCGAAAAGAATTTCCAAAAGGGACCTTAGGCCTCTTCCCAAAATATTCTGTTTACAAACATAAAACAGACAAAAGCAAGAGCTATTTTGAGATTTCAAATGATGAGGAAGCACACTATTTCTTGGCAAATAATGAGAAGACCATGGATCTGTGGGTGATACAACTCATGATGCAAACCAGACTCAATTCATCTATGATTGGTAAGAATGTTTCTGGGTCATTTCATCTTGACTGGCTTTTGACCAATGGCTCTTGACTGGCTTTTGACCAACTGTTGCCAACACAGGGCTTGAATTTTATCGTAGCAATTGCCATAGAGGGAGAACAAAATGCCGTGCATCACTGCGGCAACGACAGCAATTTTTTGCCGTATAGTATAATTTTTATACTAGATTCACTAAATTACTATATTTATTTAATTAACAATAAAATTAAATTTTGTTACAGTAATTTGAAAAATGCTGTAGAAACTGCCAAAATTGCCGTAGACAGCTGTTACGTTCTACGGCAATTTTTAACGCCACTGCCGTCGATTGATTTCAAGGAAATTCGAGGCCTGCGCCAACGTGTCGTGAAGTGTTTGTCGTGAATTATTTTTATGTTTGTTTCTGTGTGGTTGTAACTGTCGTCACACTGTTGCAAGTTAATTTCGTACTCAGGGATCGTACAAGCAGCTGGCAGCAGTTTTCAAAAGCCGAACACAGTCCCCACAGAGGGGACACCCTCCCGATTGTCGCAAAACTGTTGCCACGCTGTTGTTGTTCTGTTTCCATTAAAATATAACCGTCACAACACATTTTTAGCCTGTTGGAACTGTTGTCAAGATAGAACTCGACAACACACTTCTAACTGTCGTGAACTGTTGCCACTCGACAACACACTTCTAACTGTCATGAACTCTGACAACAGTTACAACACATTCGCGACCATATGGAAACCAGGCTTTAGACATGCAGTACCTTTTCCTTTGACGAATGTCAAATGTGTGTTGGAATTATATGTAAAATTGGGACTTGTATTTTTTTAGACAGCAGCTTCAGAGTGAAGGGTGGGGAAAACAAAGACCTTCAAAGAATTGGTGCAAAAAATCTCAACTGTCTACTGCACCTATCTGAATGGGGGATGACTCTTGCCTTGGAGCGAACTCACTCGGTCCTGTCTCAATGGCCGCTGACCACAATACGAAACTACGAATGCACAGACAACAATGAGTTTGTGTTTGAGGCCGGCCGAAAATCTCCAATGGGTGAAGGGAAATATGAATTTCTTACGACTAACAGTGAAGACAATGCAATTTTTGATCAGCTTGATCATTTTACAAGTTTGAGAGCAACACGGGTCAGGTCGGCAGGTGGGAGAAATCGCCTGAACTCTGCAAATGATGAGGAAATCGCTCAAGCATATGGCCGGTTACGTTGGAGTGTCATGTTGACTAGGTCACAACTTAATCTTGGAGGTATTGTATTATTTGTATAGCAGGTTGCATAGGTAGTTATGCCTGAACAAATGTTTACAGTATATTTATCAACGGATGATCTGTCTGGGTTAATTTGGACAAAGAAAAGATATGAACTGTCTCTATCTGTAGAAATGTCTCTGTATATAAATATGACATTAAGACAACCATCAAGAAATATAAAACATGATTAGATCCCAGCTACCATTGCTACAACAGATCATGTGAGTTAGTTTGTCTTGAGTTTACAGTTGGAAGCATTATCTGTCAAATAGATGATGCATCTTCACAAATTAATGATCTCAGTAGTACAGATCAGGCCAATCTACTATATACTGTATTCTGTTTGGCTTCAATAGCATATGAACCATTAGTTTGACATTGTTTACAAACTATCAAAATTCTGTTTTACTATTGGTAATATAGTAATTATACTTTTTAATTGTTACAGTAATCAATACAATGCCAAGTCAACCTCAGGCGATTGCAAAGAACAACAATCAAGCTGTGTACAACCATCTAGACCGCAAGTCTAGCATACAAACTTCAAGTACTGCGATTGAAGACTCCTACAACCGCCTGGATCGGACAGGCAGCCTCAACGATCACTTGTCCTCGGAGAGATCTTACAGCCGACTCAACTGCAGCAAAATAACGCCTAGTAGAGCGCAAAGCCAACGCTCTTGTAGGGACCAGAATATTAGTAACTCGTACGACCATTTAGAGCGTTCTACTAGTTTCAATGGAAGTCCATCGAGTGCAGATAGCCGATCTAGGTCCTTCGGTGGTGTAGAGGGGCAGAGTCGGTTCCACTTCCCAAGCCCACCGGCCGAGGATAGTTATAACCATCTCGCTCGAGTCCGGCATGCATCACTGCCAAGTAGCAGTAGTCCAAAAAAGCAATTGGATTTTTATGACAAACTGGATAGATCAATGGCTAATGTACATCTGGGGTCACATGTGAACAGTTATGACCGTCTTGATAGTATGCAGGATCAGGAGTCACATGTGAACAGCTATGATCGTCTGGATCGTCTTGATAGTACGCGGGATCAGGGGTCACATGTGAACAGTTATGATCATCTTGGTAGTATGCAGGGAAGCATGATGTTGGATAAGGATATGGGAATGAGTCCCCCATTGTCCTCCAATGTACGTATGTTTAGAAATAATAGCAATTGTTGCACTTTCATCTAAAGTGCCGCTGACCCCAATTATGATTTTCGATAGGTGTAATATTTTGGTCATTCTTAGAAGACACGCAATATATCTTAAGTTTACATAGATAAACTGCTACTGGAGCAATAACTGAACCTCTAGGGAGACCAGAATAAGATCAGAACTGATGGAGCTATCCAATATCAACAAAGTTACAGTAGTTTAGGTTTGACCTTACTGAACCTCTAGGGAGAAAAGTTGGGAAATGGTAGAGCTATCCAGTATAACTCAAGTTAGTTTAATTTATTAGTCCTCCAGCCGAAATCTTCTGCAAAGGTAAAGTTTTGCATCCGTTAAACACTAATACGATGACTTCAATATCTTTAGGACTCGAATGCGTACGACACATTTGGCAACCTCAAGGCGCACACTCCCACCTCGTATCCATTCGTTAAACCTGGTCAGAAGATCCAGGACCAAGCACCACTGATGGTAGAACTTCCCCCACCCCTGCCAGAAAAACCTTCTTTCATGGCTAGAGGTGAAAAGAAATCCAGCAGCGAGCCACCGCCTATCACGATAAGCCCTAAAAAGCGCGGCAAACCTCTACCACTCAGACCAGATCTAAATGGCCAGGACAGACCGGAGTTGCCCACAAAGAACCGGAACGAAACGTCAAATGGCGAAACGTCGAAAGGCGCGAACCTTGATCAACATTACCAATCCGTTGACGATGAGAAATCGCCACAAGTAAACGGTACATCGCAAGAAACGGGAAGCAATGCTTCACACTACCAGGCAGTTGATGACAAGTTATCAGGAATAGACACTAATGGCTCGCATTACCAAGCCGTAGATGATCAGAAATTAGAACCAGAATACGACGAACCACGTGGTAGACTAAACACTCACTCCAGTGATCCTGATCTGACAAAAATCCCCGGGGGTAAGGGCAAGGGTAAGAGGAAACTGGATCCTTCAAAACGGACTACACTGCACCGCAGTGCGCCGTCGCTAGCGCTTTATGCAACAGTCGACAAGAAGTCTAAAGGGTCGCCAAAGTTAACAAAATCTGGCAGTACTTTTAAACTCTTTAAGAGAATTGGTCGATCATCCAAGAAAGAGGAAGAATCCTACGAGAAAGTCCCGCGGAAGAGTAAGAAGTCGCCAAAGAAAGATAGTAGGGTTGTATCGACATCAAGTTTAAAACCGTTGATAGCAGAGGAGGACGCAGTGTCGTATGTGGATATAGACGGCGAGGAGCGTGCTCTTGCAAGGGATTTGATGGACAGGCGCGATTCGAAACGACCTTTGCCTGATCTTCCTGGAGAGCCGAGTGCAGTCTAGAAGTGCAGTCGTGTAGTGCGGTTTATCGGAAGGCACTAAAAGTTTGTGGGTTTCAGCATAGTCATTAGTAGAATGAGGTTAAGAAACTCGATGCAGATATAACAGACCTCATAAAAAGACATTATCTATGTAAAACTCTTCGTTTATGCAAAATATAGTCGGTTCATTGTCACGTGAGTATTGTTTTGTGACGATGAACCGACCATTTCTTGCATAAATCAAGTCTATTATGTAAGCATCGAGTTCCCTACCCTGGTTGCCAGAGGTTCTGTATCTTTCGCCTTATTCCCGCTCGTCAAAAGATACAGAACCTCTGGCAACCAGGGTACGAGTTCCCTAACCTTCTTGTGTCATTGACTATCCTGGAAGTTGATTACTAGTACTATCTTCTGCATGAAAGTGCTTTTTGAGATTTCATAGCTTTGTTTCAGCCGAATGAAACTATGAAAGGATTTTGAATGAATATAGATCGTGAGGCATAGAATTGCCGCAAAGACAAGATACCAAAGTATAGCCTTATCTAGCACATTCAGCAGCGAATATGACTTACAACACTTACATTTTTAACACAGAAACGGCTCCAATAGACCTTGCCATTTATTCTCTTTTACCCGATGGCTTCGTTTTCATGTTAACTTATTTTAGCATGTCAGGGGCAGATAAAGATTATATTCCCATGTTTCCCTGGCCTGGAAGAATTCGTTTCTTCAAGTGCTGTTCTTATAGGCTCAATAACAAAGTATTTTCAACCCTACTAAGCACAAATCATGAGTAAGTATTTGACACGAAAACAAGGCGATTAGGGGCATTTGCATTGGGTGAAAAGTCAATAAACGGTAAGGTATATTGCCAGCGATATTTTTATACTCTTAAATTATATTTTCTAAACCATTTTACTGTAATTTGTTGCATTTTTAAACGACACACGCTTGCTAGCGTTTTAACTTATAGCAAAACAGAAATTTTGCGTACACTCAGTTAATTTATATGCTGGAGTTTACACGAGCAACAAAATCTGATTTCAACCGCATGTTAATTGAAAATGTTTACACATAAATTACAAATCACAAGGCAATATGTGTCAACATTTTACTTAACATGCGTTGAAATCTGATTTTGTTGCAAGTTGCAGTAATTTTGTTGCTCGTTTAACTCCACCTTTATGCACGTAATACGTTTTTACCTAATGAGTAATGTCTAATGAACGAATTATATCACGAAACTGATTATACCATTATTACAGTAATTTATAATAAAAGATAAATTATAAACTTATTTTGTGCATGCAGTATTTGTATTTAATTTGAATAAAACATCAATTACTAAAGTGTGATTATATGTCTATTATTATGCAAGTTGTGTAATTATTTCAAATGTTCTACTATATAAATTTTCTCAAATAAAATTTCGTACATTTCAACAGGTTTTGTACTTTTTGCGAAGCGTTGTCCAGTTCATTATTGCAACGTGAAGTATCCAGCTGAAAGATTTGACGCTTGCAGGCTCAATCGGTTGCTATGGCCGCGATATTTGTAAATAATCAAGTAATTTTCTGATCGAACTTTGTTCACAATACAGTAAAAACACTCAACAATCGTGAATAAATGAAAAATTCTAATGATATGCTACGAATAAATAACAAATAGAAGGAGCTGATTTAAAGAAATCGATTTATTCTACCAGTATGGCAAAATATGGGGCTCCGCCGCATAGCGTGTACAAAAATTACAATGTTTACATTGTTCCATGAACGATTAATAGATTGTACTAACATTTTTTGTTATATTTGGCGAGTTGGCAACACATTAAAGTGAAGGAAATCTCTAGGAAAACTAAAATGGACTCGAGTGAGGTATTAAACTTTGTGATTATTGTTAGTAGCATATCCATGCAACCAAGTAAAGGGATAATTGCATGTTTACTTTTCAGCCTGGCCATATAAACTGTTTAATCCTATCTATAAATCCCATAAAATCCTATAAATCTAATCGGCTAACATGCCTGGCCATATTTATTACACTGTTTTATTGTGTCAACAGATGATGATTAATGTCTCAATCAATTCCATGGGTGCCCAACACCCCCCCGGGCGTTTGTCGGGCTTTTGTCATTTTGGCGAAAAAACGTTGCAAATGCCCCAGTATGGGGTCCAAATAATGCAACAAAATCCCCACCCTTGGGGACTTATATTGACGCAAATGCCCCACCCTTGGGGGACAAAATATAAGTTTTCTGAGGATTTCTGATCCAAAAAATCAAATCCAAGCTCTATCACGTATCAATTTATCTGTATTTAAAATCGATTCTATAGGCATTTCGTTTTAAAACGTTTTTAATTAAAATATTGAAGTCTCAAAACTTTATATAGCAATATCAAACTGCAGAAGTAAGTCAATGTATCAACAGGATGGACAAGAAAAAAGTCTTGTGTTATTCCGCCATGATTAATTTGCGATACGCACGCTGGTGTAAACATGCGTACTAAAGTACGGCTAAATGGCGAAACAAGCGATAAATATTCGACTTTTTAGCCTCGAGTAAATTCCCCACCCCGGGGCTAACCTGCAGAAAGCAAATGCCCGACCCTGGGAACAAGTACAGTTGAGAATGCCCGGGGGGGTGTTGGGCACCCATGGAATTGATTGAGACATAAGTTAATAATTAGCCTTTCTCACGCCGCCATTTTTGGGTGGCTTTTCGGCCAAAGTCTGCGAGATAAGTCCACATAACAGCGATTTTTTATAATTTTTTGGACAAATGATGGTAAATTTGCTTTGTAAATGGTTAGTTTATTTTGAAAAATTGATTTTCACATTGTTTTAATTGTCTGCATTGGTTAATGAGAATTAGATGCCACCCAAAAATGGCGGATATTCGTCATTGTGCGAAAGGCTAATTAACATATAGCATACAATATTTTGATCTCAGTTTTAGTGCAAAGTAATTCAGTTTGCATCACCTAATTAACATGGTCAACATTTTTAATGAGGTCAACATTGTTAACAATGCCAATAAAATACAGGGTCATATTAACGAGGGCATCACCATGTTAACGAGGTTATTAATTACCCTATCCTAATTTCTCTACCCACTAAAACGTAGGTTGACGATATCAAACATGCTGCTCAAAAACTGCTAAGCGAAGGCAACTACTTACAATCACTGGAAGAATTCTCCACGATCCTTGTTAACCATCCTAATGACCAAGAGGCTCTAGAAGGAAGACTTTCTGCTTGTCTCGAGCTTAAACTGTTTCACAGATGCCTAAAAGATATTGAAACATTGATTCAAATAAATCCTTGTGACACAAAGGTAAAGTATACATTTTTTCAGGCAAGCAAAAAATGTTTGAAATTAATAAATTATTAATGATAGTTTTGGCAATGGTAGTCAAACAGGTTGATAGGTCAGCATTTAGGTTGGCATTGCCGAATGCCGACCTCGCCAATTTCGAGGGCTGATTACTATCATATTGCATGATTGCACCCTACTTTTTTATTTTGCCCTGTCTAATGCCAGACAGTTTTAATCGTTAATGGGAGAGAACGCTCATTGGGTTAATTTATGTTGATTGCATTAATTTTGTCTACCAATGATTAAACTGACTAACTCATTGGCAATTAGGGACCGGTCATAAAGTAGAGGGGGGGGGGGCTATGAAAAATTGGGGGTGGGTCACTATTTTTCAACACGTCGAAAAGGGTGGGTCAGGAAAATTTATGCACTGCATTAGGGGTGAGTCAGGTAAAATTATTCACGTCTCACAATTTAATAAATAGCAAATAAAAACTTTTGCGAAATCTCTTTAACCTATTAACTTTATATATTAAACAACAAGAATTCACATTTGTATACAGTACATTGGGAAGTGTTCTAGCTACCGTAGTCTACTCAATGTACTGTCATGCATTATGTTTGGACATAGTTGAATTATGTTCAAGAGTCGGTCGGCGTGTTACAACATTTCAATCTCAGAGATTTTTCGGGGATTCTGACTAAACTAGTAAAGAATCGTGGTAAGCCAATGCTGCCAACGTACGCGCACCTATCTACATTACCGTACAGTACATTATCTACATGACGGGGGTGGGGGTCACTAAGATTTCTGCTCTAATCTAGGGGTGGGCCACCTCAATTTATTGTCACAGTTTGGGGGTGGGTCACTGTAAACCAGTCTTTAAAAAATCAATTTTCATAGCCCACTTCTACTTTATGACCGGTCCCTTAGGTTGCAATTTGAAGTCACCTGAAGTACAGGACAAGTTTAATGTACAAATTTTTAGAAGCTCCCCATAAAAATTTCAAGATGGCAGCCGACAAATGGAAAAAGTTTAGCAGCCATTAAGCTGGGCTGAAACCATGAACTTATAGCTTGATTTGTGTTGTTTTTCTTAATCAAACAGGTCCATAATTTGGCTGGACAAATTTATGAACAAATTGGTGCATATAAGAAGAGCATTTGTGCTTATCTTAAAGCGTACTTATACGAACAACAAACAGACTATCGCCTTGAAACAGTACAGAAAATAAGCCAGTTATGTTCTAAACTTTTGGGGGAAACACACGCCGAAATACCAGGTAAAAACGTTAGAATTTATAAGCCCATTTTTAAGTGATATTTTTGGGTAGATTTCAAACCATTTTTATCCACAATTTACGTGATTTAAAACAAGTGAACCTTAAATCCTTCTTCTAGTATTCTATATAAAATTTTATATAGATTTCAAACCATTTCAGCAAGTGTTATTTCAACCTACCTGCATAAAAGTTTAAATTTGCCTCCATTATTGAAATTTAAATACCTTCACATGATTCGTTCCAGTCCCTCGAGGAAAATGGCCGAGCAGCCTCGCGCCATATAAACCAGGGTAAACGCATACGAGGTTTTTCTAACTTTTGGTAACGCCAAATTAAACTAAAGCTATTAATATATTGGTCCAGTATTAGTACAAGATGAAACTGGACTACCCCAAAAAAATCCGCTTGTGTTCAGCGACTGGCCAGTGAAATCTTTTTATGGCTTTCTTTTTAGGAAAAAGTATTGACGGTTTCGAAAGCCTTGTCGTGCTTTCTCAAAAGTTAGCAGAACAAGAAAAATTCCAAGTCTGTCTTGAAATTATAGTTACTGCAATAGAGAGCCATTGCTTGGACGAGTTTGCGTTAAAAGCTTTCAAGAGTGAGCTAAACATTTGCTCAAAAAAGGATAACATTATAAGGGAAAATATCTCAAAAAAAATACCAGAAATAGTAATTTGTACTGTTGGAGATAGCAGAAATATGGAAAATGCTTTTGAGCAGCTTACAGAACGCGAAAATACCGAGAGAATTTCGAAATCTGAAACTGAACTGGTCACGAGCTCAAAAACACTACAAGACAAAGTGAACGAGAAAAGCTCTGTCCTGAATGCTTCGCATTCATCTCATAGCGCTTCGCAAGCCTCGCACGAAGTGGAAAATTCGGAAAGTACTTTCGACCATGCTGAACATTCCGACAGTTCAACAAAACCACCAACCCAACTGACATTTCTATCGAACACCGACCCACAAACTATTAACAACATGCTTTTACAAGCATCCAAATGCTGCTACAAACTTCGACAGCTAAAAACATCGCTATGGTTCGCAGACAAGTTCTTACAAAACTCTCAAACGTCTGAGGATATTGTCGCCATACTAAAATCGTACAGCCAACTTGGGTTTTTGCATACTAAATACGGTGACTACAATTTTGGGGTTTTGTGTTACACCAAAGTGCGGTCAAAATGCCGGGAGCGTTTGGCGGCTAATTACGCGCTGGGAAAAGCGGATATGGAGATTTCAGCAATTGAACAAGAAACTATTTTGAAGCTGTGTTTGCTGTGTAAGGGTTTGGGGCTTTATGAAGAGGCCGAAGAGTTTTTGAAAGAGTTCTTTTCGAAAGTCGATGTAGTCGAGCAAGACAGTTTAGTGACAGCGTATGGCGTTTTGGGCGAGACAGAGTTAGCCCAAGGACGATACGACGAGGCGATAAGAAGTTTTAAAACTCAGTTAGCGTTGTGTCTTAAATACAACGATCAAAAAGGCCTCGTCTTAGTGTACAGCAACCTCGGCAAAGCTTACCAAGCCTCTGGAAAGAGCATATTGCCTATGGAATGGTTTCAATTAAGTCTTCACACAGCCAATACGGTGAACGATTCTCTCTGCTCGGCAATCGCATATGGCAGCGTCGGTGAGAGCTTGCTATTTCAAAACAATCCTCAACAGGCCTTACCATATTTTGAAAAACAACTAGATCTTAGCACTGCTATCGACGAACAGGCAGTCCGAGTTCAAGCGCTATTTTCCTTAGGGAAAACGTACCAAGACTTAGGACTGTTCCAACACGCTGAATTTTTTCTCACACGAGCTCTACTCGAAGCCAAAGATGTGAGAATGCATCTAGAAGAGAAAATTAAAGAAAGTTCAGTTCAAGTTTTGCTAACTTTGGGCAAATATAACGAGGGGTTCAAGTTCTTGTATGAAATGCGTGATCGTTTGGAGTCGAAGTTTCACAGAGTGAGTCGATATAAGATCGTTACATCCCATCCACTGCTGGATAAACTTAACACATGTGTTGATCAGATCTTGGAACGGCTAGCTGAGGAAGGACGTTTCGATGAAGCTTTTCAATCAGCGGAGAGAAGCAACTCTATTCTACTCAACCAAATGTTATCCTACAAAGCGTATGTTCAAGGCTCAGATATGGTTTCCACTAACAAGAGCATGAATCTCACCGAATTATACCAGGTTGTCAATGATGCCAATAAGGTTGTGTTGTATTACAGAGTTGTACGGAATGGTTTTATGGTATGGATTATTGCACCAGCGAATGGTATGGTACATTTCCACTGGTGCAAAGCGCCAATTAGTTCGCCGTTTAAAGAAATGATACAAGACCTTATGAATGGTCTACTCCAATCCAGTGACCCACTTGCGAGTTACACTTGTGATCACAGGAAAGTGACTAACGATCCACAAACAACCCAAGATACCCCTCAAGGTTTGACTTCAAGATCTAGATATACCCCTCAAGGCTCGATTTCAAGGTCCAAAAATACCCCTCAAAGTACTTTAATATCCAAAAATACTACTAAAAGTACTTCAAAATCCAAAGATACCCCTCAACGTCCAACTTCTCCGAAGGATTGTCTCCAAGAGCTTTCTGAACTGTTCATTTTCCCGATTGAAGAAGAATTAATTAACATGCCAGACTTAAGTAGCCATGATCTAGTCATCATAAACAGTTCATTCCTGAGTATGATTCCATTTACGGACCTTCACACCTCAACTGGTAACACTTTAGCAGATCTTGCAAATTCACTTCAACTTCTACCGTGTATTTCTGTTCTCAAAAACGTAGAACAGAACAACGAGGATTCTCCGAAAGGGATAAGCATTATCGGAAATCCTGAAATAAAATTCCCGGAAATGCTAGCAGGATTTCACAGTCATGTGCAACCAGATTTCTTGGAAAGAGAGATCAACGACGTTGCCATTCTGTTAGGAACGGTACCGGACGTCGGTGCGTTCGCAACTAAGGAACATTTTTTCAGTGAATTTAGTTCCTGTAGTCTTATGCATTTGTCCACCTATGGGTCTCATGAGCAAGGGACTATTACCCTGGCACCAATCGCCGATATTGATCCGCGTGTAGTCGCGAGTGGAGTCGCACGGGATCCGTGGGAAATAACTTTGGAAGATATCGTGGCATGTCGTCATGCTCCGGAAGTCCTCGTGCTGACCTCGGGCTACGGGTGTCGGAATCGGTTTTCGGAGTTGGAGGCGTTTCATGCGCACCTGCCATTGGCGTTCATGTTGGCTGGTGTAAAGACTGTTGTCATGGCGACGTGGTCAACGCCCCAGAATGCATTGTTGGCTTGTCTACGGCAGTTTTATAAAAACATTTCTGACGTAAGTATGACGAATCATTTTTTAACCAACCAACCAACCAACCAACCAACCAACCAACCAACCAACCAACCAACCAACCAACCAACCAACCAACCAACCAACCAACCAACCAACCAACCCACCAACCCACCAACCCACCAACCCACCAACCCACCAACCCACCCACCAACCCACCAACCAACCAACCAACCCACCAACCCACCCACCAACCCACCCACCAACCAACCCACCAACCAACCCACCAACCAACCAACCAACCAACCCACCAACCAACCCACCAACCCACCCACCAACCAACCAACCAACCAACCAACCAACCAACCAACCAACCCACCAACCCACCAACCAACCAACCAACCAACCAACCAACCAACCAACCAACCAACCAACCAACCAACCAACCAA